GCAGTGAAATGGAACCGAGTCAATAGGCATTTCAACGTCATAGCTTTAGCCAGTGGTACCTTGTGGAATAGACACCGGTTGGAATGTGGTTTTAACGAATCAGCGTCCAGGATTAGAACCACCCGTTGTATAAACACAGGATAAACAACAAGAATGGTAAGAAGAAACAGGCAGAGAGAACAGGAGAAAGCGGGCCTTAACTGCCTTTTATATGACTTTAACTGTTATTACTGTACTGTGTGCAGTGTCCCGTGTAGCTCAGTTGGTAGGGCATGGCGTTTGCAATGCCAGGGTTGTGGGTTCGATTCCCACGGGGGGCCAGTATGAAAATGTATGCACTCACTAACTGTAAGTCGCTCTGGATAAGAGAGTCTGCTAAATGACTAAAATGTAAAATGTAAATGTCTCTAGCCTACCTTTGGTTTTGAGGTGATTCATTGTAGGCTGTCAAAAGAGGGTCCTTTAGTGCCACCTAGAGGATTTTTGTAGAACTAATAAACAAACACACTGCTGTAAAACAGTCTGCAGTGCAGTCATGCAAATACTGTTGCTTAGCTTACCTGTTTTTTCCCCTTTTTTCAGTTACAGTATGACTCATGGCAATAAACAATAACCTAGGGAAACCTGAATAGGCATTCCTTTCTCTAATTCTGGAGTTCCTTTTGATACAGCTTAGTTTTGTTTCTGCTCCTGTCATATATCTAAGAGCTTGGTCAATATAATAGACGTAGTCCTACATAAAAGGTTTATTCAAAATGTAACGTCTATGCCTTAATTGTCACTGACAGGGTTGTTCCACTAGCTTGTGACATGTGGCTTGTGCAAGCGCCTCCTTTCTCTGTCTGTGTGTGTGTGTGTGTTACAGAGCGGAGGGGTCTGGGCAGTGTTCCCGTGTCCATGCATGGCCCCCAGAGTAAAGTAAACACAGCGCTCTTTTCTCATCCCAGCCGTCAGCAGGCTCTCCTCAGGCCCGAGCCAGAGACCACACACCCGGACCACACACACACACACAAACACACACACACACACACACACACACACACACACACACACACACACACACACACACACACACACACACACACACACACACACACGCTGCCCAGACCCCTCCGCTCTGCTCCGCAGCACAGATCCCTCCACATACTCTCTCACATACACACAGACCACACAGCGCCAGCTCGGGTCCCCTCGCACGCAACTGAGCAGAGCTGTCAATCTGCCCAGCCTGTGTGTGTGTGTGTACCCAAGATGGGGATAGAAACACTCCTGTTGAGGAAACACAACAGTTGTAGAAGAAGAAGACAGACTAACCCCTATATTCCCCACTGCCCCCTCCACTCAAACTCCCCTTCTAAACATATGGGCTTGATGAACGACAGACGAGGGGCTTGTTTAAGGCCTGTTAGCCTCTTATCTTCTCCGTGTCAGATCCCCTGCCCCTAGATTTCCTCTGACTAGCACACTGCAGCGGAGGTTAGGTTAGGCTGCATGAGTTGGGCCTACATCCCCTTTGAGCTATCAGACCCCCATCTCTTTAAGATGTCATTGTGTGTGTGTGTGTGTGTGTGTGAACTCAGATTATAGCCTAGTAGAATTGCTGTTCTATCATTCTGTGTGTGTAGCTAGCTAGGTGCTGTTATGGACTGGTTAGATGTGTGCTTTTGTGAATGTGCTGAATCATTTTACATGTTGTATCTTTTGTAAACTTAGCCTTATTAAACTTGTTCAGTTTATCAACAAATATTCAACAAGTGTAGGTAAATGTACACTCTGAGATGTTGATGATGTTGCCACAGATTTGCTGCATGGTGATTGGTTCCCTTGTTCCGTGTGAGCTCCTGCCTTGTTTGTAGAGAACGTGTTTTGGCTTTAGTATTAGAAAGCAAAGTGGTTACAGAGAGGCACGGTTGTTCAACCTCAACCAGACCTGGCAGCTATTTATTAACACACATCTGTGATGAAAAATGTATTGGACACCCCTCGTTCTACAGGCTTTTTAGATCTCCTCAAATCCGTTAGTAACACATCTATTTTCCTCCTTTTTAATTTTTTAATATTCTAAACAGTTTCACATTTTATGTAAAAAATGTACCCAGCTTTTAGCTGTTTCCTCTTCCACACTGGCATATCATCTCTACACAGGTGATTGCTGTTTGTTCTGTGTGTGACAGTGTTTTCTCTGGAAACATTTGTAGCAGTGGGGGAAAAAGGTCACAGAGGGGGGTTGAGGGGGGGGGCGGGAGATTGAGAAGCTCAGTTCTGGTGACTTTTTTAAAAAGGACATTCTACTCCAAATTGACTGAAAATAAAAGTATGCTGACACCATCTCAAATATAATTTCCACCTCCAGAAATGAGCCCAATAACACATTGGTAAAATGATTTGTTAAAATGATTTTAACATATTGGGCCATGTATGTAGCCTATGCATGGTCCATATTAACAGGTAAGCTATTAGCAAGAAACATTATCACCTGTAGCCCAACTGATGCAGCAAAGTGCAAATAAATAGGCTGAAGCATTGACCCAATTGGGCTATATTAGGAATGTCATTAGCCAGATCCCAAATGTGATCTTTTAACTAGTTATTATCCTATTGATGAATTTGTTGGCCCAAAAAACTTGCATTAGCACAGTGATTATGATGTAGGCCTACCTATTAGGGTAACTTGGGGTAACTCGCCACCCGGGGTAACACCCTGCCTGTACTTCTCACAGAAACCACTTCATGTCACAAGTTTTTACCCCACTTTCTCTGGTTGCCACTACTCTTGATCAACAAAAAATAATGTCTGTCTCATCACCGTTTTTTAAGTCATTGTTCAATTTAGCCCCACTTTCCCCTATGCACTGTGAATTGCAGAACAGTAAAATGCTTAACTATGTTTATCAGTTACACCAGTGGGCACCGGTGGCAATCAATAAAATAAAACCAAAAGCTTACCTTGACTTGTTGGATAACAATAGCCAGCTAGCTAACATAGCTAGCAGCCAGCTAGCATCCCTCTCTGTTTGAGCCGGGTGTTTGAGTAGGCTAAACTAGCTAGCTGCATTTGCTAGCTAAGTAAGTGAAAGTGAGAAAAATACAACGAAATATAGCTAGCTCCCTCGCTTCTTCATTTTTGAAGAAATTAATTTGTTCAAAACTGTTCAACTATTGTCTTTCTCTCTCTTTGAGTCAACTACTCACCACATTTTATGCACTGCACTACTAGCTAGCTGTAGCTTATGCTTTCAGTACTAGATTCATTCTCTGATCCTTTGATTGGGTGGACAACATGTCAGTTCATGCTGCAAGAGCTCTGATAGGTTGGAGGACATCCTCCGGAAGTTGTCATAATTACTGTGTAAGGGGGTGAGAACCATGAGCCTCCTAGGTTTTGTATTGAAGTCAATGTACTCAGTTTCCGTCCTCCTCTATCTGTCCTCAGGCTACACAATGGTAGTACTCTACAGAGTGCTGTTGAGGCTACTGTAGACCTTCATTGCAAAACATTGTGTTTTAATCAATTATTTGGTGATGTGAATATATACTGAACAAAAATATAAATGCAACATGTAAAGGGTTGGTCCAATGTTTCATAAACTGAATTAAAAGATCCCAGAATTTTTCCATACGCACAAAAAGCGTATTTCTCTCAAATTTAGTTCACAAATTTGTTCACATCCCTGTTATGAACATTTCTCCTTTGCCAAGATAATCCATCTACCTGACAGGTGTGGTATATCAAGAAGCTGATTAAACAGCATGATCATTACACAGGTGCACCTTGTGCTGGGGACAATAACAAATATAACAGGTCACTATAAAATGTGCAGCTTTGTCACACAACACAATGCCACAGATGTCTCAAGTTTTGAGGGAGCGTGCAATTTGCTTGCTGACTGCAGGAATGTTCACCAGAGCTGTTGCCAGATAATTGAATGTTAATTTCAATACCATAAGCCGCTTCCAACATCGTTTTAGAGGATTTGGCAGTACGTCCAACCGGCTTCACAACCGCATACCACGTATAACTACGCCAGCCCAGGACCTCCACATCAGGCTTCTTCACCTGCGGGATCGTCTGAGACCAGCAACCCAGACAGCTGATTAAACTGTGGAGTATTTATGTCTGTAATAAAGCCCTTTTGTTTGGGAAAAACTAATTCTGATTGGCTGGGCCTGGCTCCCCAGTGGGTGGGCCTGGCTCCCAAGTGGGTGGACCTATGTCCTCCCAGGCCCACCCATGGCTGCGTTCTTGCACAGTCGTGAAATCCATAGATTAGGGCCTAATGAATATATTTCAATTGACTGATTTCCTTAGATGAACTGTAACTCTGTAAAATCATTGAAGTTGTTGCATGTTGCGTTTTATATTTTTGTTCAGTATAGTTTTATCTAAAAAGGATAACTTTTTTTAATGTTTCACAATGGAAATTTTGCTGAAATTCACTGAGGAGGATGGTCCTCCCCTTCCTCCTTTGAGTAGCCTCTACTGCTGCTACATAGCCTACACACACACACACACACACACACACACACAAACACACATACTTGCACCCGCTTTTCGGTCTCCTACACAAACACACGTTGTGTAGGTTAGGCTATGTGGAATCGATGAGGGAGAGCAGGTTTATTTATCCTACTCTCTGAGGTTTACATTCCTCCTTTCCTTTCCTCTCCCTCTTTCTCTCTCTCTCTCTCTCAGTCTGGTCAGAGCTCCTACCAGCACCCTCATGTCCTCCTATGATTGTAGACGTTGTAGCCTTCTCTTTCAAACTCTTTTAAATATAAGCCTTTTAAGATATTCTGCATAATAAAACATTATAAAGGTTCATACATGCTTATAAGTAATAACACATTAGCCTATAGCTGTGCTGTATACATTACAGGTGTGTTTCTGTATTAGACTAATATCTGTGTTACGTGTCCTTCTGTCTTTCCCCTCTCCCCTGCTGTGTTCACAGGTTGCTGACTGACTTTCTCCGTGTTCCTGCACACACGTGACCACCACCATGTCTCGTGCCCACCAGCCCCCCCTGGTGACGGGCATCTCACCCAACGAGGGCACCTCATGGACCAAGGTCACCATCCGAGGAGAGAACCTGGGCACTGGCCCCGCAGACCTCGTTGGTACGAGTATGACACACACATACACATGCAAGCACAAACGTACACACACACACACACACACACACACATACACTGTTATTTGCATTTGACTTCCGACAGGCATATCACTTCCATATAAAAAAAAAAAATAGATTGCCCACCTTTCTGTAATGTCATTAATTACTGCGGTTGTTTTTGATGCATAAAGTTATTCTGTTTGGTATGTAAGTGTTTTCACTGGCATTGACGATAATTGTTTGTGTGTGTTGTGTATGAGAGAGAGTGTGTTAGACAGAGTGTTAGTCTGTTAGTCTAAGGCTCTTCCCAGTCTGTGAGGTAGGGTTCATGCCGTTATGACCCTTCGTCAGAGTCAGACTGAGTGACTTTTATTAATTTACCCAGAGCCTGGCTAGCCTACAGTCTACCACAGAACACACTGGACCTTAGTCAGCCGTGGTCAGGCTCTGCTTACATTACACAGAGTGTTTGTTGCTGTTTATCAAATGAAAGGTTTTCATGACTTTATGAAGGGGAAAACACATTTTTAATGTTCAATTACTTTTCGTTTCTTTCAACTGAGTGAAACCTCTGCCTAATTCACAATTTTATATACCCGGCCAAGATAATTAATTTTAACCCATATTGATTTTGTTTAAAAATAAGACTGTGTATAAAGGTTTTAGGTCTACATTTAAAATCTGTGATTTAAATGCTGAAACAAATCATACGATGTCTGAACAATATGTTATTGCAGGTTTTTGGTATTTGTTAATTGAATTTAGGCCTAAAAGAGCATTTTCTAACCTTTGTGGTAAAGATGAATTTGTCAAAATGTTGAATTTAAATATTGTTAGAAGTTCTAATTACTGGACACGTTTGCTACAAAATTGTTTAAAAAAAATCGAATTTCAGCTGTATTATTGTCAAGGATATCAGGATATTTGGTTAGAGTATTATAGCAATGACGGGAATCTTTTATTAATATGGTAGTCAATATGTAGGGCTATCAATTATTATGATTTGTTGTTAAAAGGGAGACAATTTAACATATTTGTTACCACAAAAAATGATCAATTTGATACTCTAACTAAATACTGCATGTCCTGTTTTTATTAAATTTGATCAAAATGTAATTTACCAAAATTATTAGATGTTTTAGAATTATGGGTTAATTGTTTTTACAGAATTACAATAATTTGTTTTGTTTTAAATATATATATTTTTTGTTTGACATTTGTCATATTTGGCAAATTAAGTTGTGCTAGTGTAAAGAAAATAAACTGTACTTCCACAATTCTTTTAGCTGCTATTTCAAAATGCCTTATTGTGGAACATCCGTTGCTTAGAATTAAACTCTGTGGATAGTCAGCATTTATTTTGATGTAAATGCCCAGATTTTTTTGCGTTGTCAAAATGCCACCACTCATTTCCCTAGAATTTCAGTATTATTTTAATAAATTAGAATTAAGCCACCCACAAATGAAAACCAAAACACATGAACTGAGTGCGGCAGAAAGCCCCAAAACATGGCCTCACACACGACTGTGCACTTGGCAGGCTGAGCCCTGGCCAATGATTTATATCGACACTATATATACAAAGGTATGTGAATTGTAAGTGCTGTTATTGTGAAGTGGAAATGTCTAGGAGCAACAACGGCTCAGCAGCGAAGTGGTAGGCCACACAAGCTCACAGAATGGGACCACCGCTGAAGCGCTTACAAATCGTCTGTTCCAAACCGCCTCTGGAAGCAACGTCAGCACAGTAACTGTTCGTCGGGAGATTCATTAAATGGATTTCGATGGATGAGCAGCTGCACACAAGCCTAAGATCACCATGCGCAATGCCAAGCGTCGGCTGGAGTGCTGTAAAGCTTGCTGCCATTGGACGCTGGAGCAGTGGAAACGCGTTCTCTGGAGTGATGAATCACGCTTCACCATCTGGCAGTTCGACGGACTAATCTGGGTTTGGCAGATGCCAGGAGAACGCTACCTGACCCAATGCATAGGGCCAACTGTAAAGTTTGGTGGAGGAGGAATAATGGTCTGGGGCTGTTCTTCATGGTTCGGGCTAGGCCGCTTAGTTCCAGTGAAGGGAAATCTTAACGCTACAGCATACAATGACATTCTAGACGATTCTGTGCTTCCAACTTTGTGGCAACAGTTTGTGGAATGCCTTTTCCTGTTTCAGCATGACAATGCCCCCGTGCACAAAGCGAGGTCCATACAGAAATGGTTTGTCGAAATCGGTGTGGAAGAACTTGACTGGCCTGCACAGAGCCCTGACCTCAACCCCATCAAACACCTTTGGGATGAATTGGAACGCTGCCTGCAAGCCAGGCCTAATCGCCCAACATCAGTGCCCGACCTCTTGTGGCTGAATGAAATCAAGTCCTACAGCAATGTTCCAACATCTAGTGGAAAGCCTTCCCAGAAGAGTGGAGGCTGTTATAGCAGCACAGGGGGGACCAACTCCATATTAATGCCCATGATTTTGGAATGAGATGTTTGACGTGCAGGTGTCCACATAGTTTTGGTCATGTAGTGCATTTCTGACCACTAATGTCCCTGGAGCCTGAAATTAGCCTATTAGATGTTGGATAGCAACACGTGTGTGTTAGTGCATATACTGTATATTCAAACAAAACAACCAGTACAGAACAAAGGCAGGAAATGTGCTTTAATTTAATGACTGTTTTATTATTCACAGTTTGTTTCAATGGTTATTTGTTGATAATCTCTCACAGGCTTTTATGATGTTTGAGTACAGTCATTTGCAGCTCTCTGTCCAGTTCCCTTTGGTCAGATAAATCAGAGGTGGTTTCACTTTTTCTTCTCTCTCTCTTTCTCACTCTCTCTCTCTTTATTTCTCTATTCTCTCTAAACTTCTCTTTACTCCATGAGAAGGGTCAGATAGAAAGATAAATAAAAGAGAGTGTAGAAGTAGAGTAAATAGATATGTAATGAGCCACTTAGCAGTGAAGTGACAGCACTCTCAGTGTGGAGAGAATGATGAAACTGTGGCAGACTTGTCAGGGCTACACATGACTGACTGGACCCTGGGCTGAACTTTGACCCCTAATGACAGGTTTATTAAACTGCTGTTTGTGTCATTGTGTCATGCATTTTCTCTGTGTGTCTCTGTGTTATTACTTGTTCTGTTGCTGTAAGCGTGCCTATATATTTCTCTCTCTCTCTCTCTCTCTCTCTCTCTCTCTCTCTCTCTCTCTCTCTCTCTCTCTCTCTCTCTCTCTCTCTCAGGTCTCTCCATCTGTGGTCACAACTGCCTGCTGACGGCTGAGTGGATGTCAGCCAGTAAAATAGTGTGTCATGTGGGCCCGGCCAAAGACGATAAGGGAGAGATCATCGTCAGCACCAAGTCAGGAGGACACGGCACCTCCACCGTCTCCTTCAAACTGCTCAAGGCTGAGAAGATCGGTATGATAGTGTTGCTGCTCTCAGCAACCACTCCAGTTCTAATACAAGTCTCTCTGTCAGTCATCAGAGGAACTCTAGAACGACTACTCAGTGGCGCAAGTACAGACAATCTTCCTCAGTATTACCAAGCAGATGTAGCGGGGAACTACAGTATGGATACTCATACTGTTTTGTCCTGTGTTGCTGTACAAACTATAGTAGCTCTGTCAGGTACTATTATTGAGTGTGTGATCTGGGCTGTCCCTCAGTGATGATGTGTTTCCTGTGTGTGTCTGTGCTCTAGGTATCCTGGACCAGTCTGCTGTGTGGGTGGATGAGATGAACTATTACGACATGAGAACCGACCGCAACAAAGGCATCTCTCCCCTCTCCCTACGACCCAGCAATCCATTGGGCATCGACGTAGACAAGTAGGAACATACATACACACACACACGTGCGTGCTACACATACACACATTACACACACGCGCACACACATACATACATACACATACATACATAAACACACAGGTTCTAGTCTTTGAGTCATGGTTTAGGTCTGTAAACAGAAACAAAGGATCCCCATGTGGAGGTGTTTGAAATGTTATGCCAACACAGCAATGGCTCAACTGGCTTTAACCGCTGCACAACGCACTGGAGACAACATCATTGTGTTTAAAGGAGGGAGAAGGAAAGAAGAAAGGAAATAGTTGAAAAGAAAGAGTGCAGCCCACCACACATGGTCATAGCAGGCGTATGGTGTGGCCTCTACCTCCCACGCGCCTGGCAGAGAAAGAACAGCCTGTAATGTAATGTATAGTTGAGTTTGTATAGTTTAGTTCTGGTATGTCTGTGCTCTAGGCCCTCTGATGTTTGTTTGGTTTAGAGGGGCCAGGGGCGCCAGGGGCCAAGTGACCACTCGTGGCCAGGGAGGAGAGCCTCTGACTGAGCCGCAAACCCTCCATGTCCAGGGTCACTTTCCTGGGCCTAGTGGTAGGCTGCAACCCATACAACCCAGTCAGTTCGCCTCTTCTCTTTATGTTATTAGCCACATTAAAGACATTCTCCGGTACTTTGGCGACTAGTAAGTGTTTTATTAAACCTCCGGATTTGGGCGGATGTGTCAATGTGTAGTTCATACATGCATAATCTATGAGCAGAGTTACTCTCTTACCTTAGTTAGCCATGAAATCCCTAGTTTGAAAGCAACTGTTTTCTGGAAGCTGTGCGGCACCATTTTCCCTACATTTACCCCCATGTGGGCCAGCCCCCTAGCAATTCGAGTTTCAGCCAATGCCTCTCGCCATTTGGGCTTTTGACATGATGTAGTACACCATTTTCGTGGACCACTTTTGGCTCATGGGTGCTACTTTCAGAACTGCTGGCTAAAAAGTATACAAAAGTACCAGAGAATATCTTTCAAGTAAAGACACTGGTCCATGAAAATGGACAGACACACACTGCACAGTACACACACATCACATTAATGAATATAGCCAATGCTGTTTACTATAGAAACAGTGGCTAGCTGTCCAACCAGACACAGCTGACCAGGAGAAGTGGAGTGGACGGAGTCGGACAACCTCTTAGTAATTGTTTAGTAGTTCAATAAGTTTCAACCCATGATTATAATTACGAGGTCTTGAACCAGTTTGAACAAGTTTGTCTGGTGGTGATGTCACTGGCTGGTTATTCCAACAGAGAGGTCAGACAGGAAGTAATCTTGTCGGTCTGAAATACACTTCCTGGTGATGTCCTCATCAACCTGTTCCTTTTTATTTTGGTCCACACGCTACAGAGTAACAAACGTCGTCCGAGCCGCAATGCTCGAGTGATAATGTCCGAACTGTAACTGCTTGTTTTGAGTTAGCCTGCTGAACTGCATCAATAGTAAGAGGAGGGTTTCTCTCAGCGTATACGTATGTGCTTCCTGTATGTGGAGCAAAGCAGCAGATCCGGAACATGTGAGAGCAGGCTTTGATAACGTGCCAGGTATGGAGATGAGGGAATAACTTAACGGACTGAGAAAGTTGTTTCTCTCACTTTTACTCTCTCTCTGCTCCCTAACACTCTCTCTGTCTCTATCGAGATACATGTGTACATTTAGTATGCCACAAAGCAGAAGCTTTGTAAAGCGACGTACAGTACAGTGCATCCATTTTTAGTATGTTCACGTGATCTCTGCGCGAATTCAATGTGCAAACTTTGTTGTTCACGTCACACTCTTACCAACTGAGCCACAACGTTACAAGATTGTTAGAAGAGCATGGGTACTGTGAGGCGAAAGTGTGGTGAGTGGTTTGAAAGTTTAATTGGTGTTAACCTTCCATGATGATCAGACTTGCACTTTCACCCCTCTCTCTCTCTCCCACTTCTTTCCCATGACAACCCATCTTTACATCTTTACTGAGATAATTCTGCTCTATGATGTGTTTGTGTGCATGCGTGTGTGTGTGTGTAATCACTCCCTGAGGGCTCAGTGTGCTCCGGTACAGTACAGGCTGGATGGTGGGGGTGGGGGGGGTATTGGTTTAGTTTGTGTAGCCCACGGGTCATTACCACAGATCAAACCTTCCTAACGACCTCTGGGTCCTCAAGGGGCGCCCAGGCGTCACACACTGCTCTTCCCACGCCCGGCCCTTCGTCCTTGGGCACGGCTTGGGCTCACACTGACCCCTGCTGGAGGACTTTATACCAACACTCCAACTCACCTTTCACCTCATTACATTAGAAGAAGGATGTTCTTGTTATTTTGTACGATGTCACACATGTTCTTTCTTATTTGTGTAACTATGTACAGTTGTAAGCATTACCTGTAATGCATTGTTTGTGTAGATTGTGTTCAAGTTTCAACTTTATTGTCAAAGAGAGAAATGTGGTTTGCAGCATAATCTATATTAATATATTCCATTTAGCAGACGCTTTTTAATATTATTGTTATTTTATTTTATATATTTTTTTACCCCTTTTTCGTGATATCCAATTGTTAGTTACAGTCTTGTCCTATCGCTGCAACTCCCGTACGGACTCGGGAGAGGCGAAGGTCGAGAGCCATGCGTCCTCCGAAACACAACCCTGCCAAGCCGCACTGCTTCTTGACACATTGCTCGCTTAACTCGGAAGCCAGCCGCACCAATGTGTCGGAGGAAACACCGTACAACTGGCGACTGTGTCAACGTGCATGTGCCTGGCACGCCACAGGAGTCGCTAGAGCGCGATGGGACAAGGACATCCCGGCCGGCCAAACCCTCCCCTAACCCGGACGATGCTGGGCCAATTGTGCATCGCCTCATGGGTCTCCTGGTCGGGGCCGGCTGCGACACTGCCCGGGATCGTACTCAGATCTTAGACCGCTGCGCCACTCGGGAGGCCCTTAGCAGACGCTTTTAACCAAAAGTGACTTACAGTCATGCCTGAATACATTTGACATATGGGTGGCCCCAGGAATTGAACCCACAATCCTGGCGTTGCAAGCGCCATGCTCTACCAACTGAGCCGTACAGGACCACAGCATGACCATACATAGAATATATAAAACATACATTTAACAGGGTTTCCTTAGTAATCAGTTTTATCTGTGTGTTTTCTCCCCCAGGGGTAAGGTCCCTCTGAAAGATTTGGAGGCCATGTTCCCAGGGGTGAGTGGGGATTTCACCAGCGAGAACTTCTCAGCCACCTGGTACCTCATCGAGAACCACTCTGTCACCAGGTAGGTCAGACCTACCTACCTACAGTGGCTTGCAAAAGTATTCACCCCCCTTGGCATTTTTCCTATTTTGTTGCCTTTCAACCTGGAATTAAAATGGATTTTTTGGGGGTTTGTATCGTTTGATTTACACAACATGCCTACCACTTCGAAGATGCAAAATATATTTTTTTGTGAAACAAACAAGAAATAAGACAAAAAAACTGAACTTGAGCGTGCATAACTATTCACCCCCCCAAAGTCAATACTTCGTAGAGCCACCTTTGCAGCAATTACAGCTGCAAGTCTCTTGGGGTATGTCTCTATAAGCTTGGCACATCTAGCCACTGTGATTTTTGCATATTCTTCAAGGCAAGCTCCTTCAAGTTGGATGGGTTCCGCTGGTGTACAGGAATCTTTAAGTCATACGACAGATTCTCAATTGGATTGAGGTCTGGGCTTTGACTAGGCCATTCCAATACATTTAAATGTTTCCCCTTAAACCACTCGAGTGTTGCTTTAGCAGTATGCTTAGGGTCATTGTCCTGCTGGAAGGTGAACCTCCATCCCAGTCTCAAATATCTGGAAGACTGAAACAGGTTTCCCTCAAGAATTTCCCTGTATTTAGCACCATCCATCATTCCTTCAATTCTGACCAGTTTCCCAGTCCCTGCCGATGAAAAACATCCACACAGCATGATGCTGCCACCACCATGCTTCACTGTGGGGATGGTGTTCTCTGGGTGATGAGAGGTGTTGGGTTAGCGTTTTCCTTGATGGCCAAAAAGCTCAATTTTAGTCTCATCTGACCTTCTTCCATATGTTTGGGGAGTCTCCCACATGCTTTTGGCGAACACCAAACGTGTTTGCTTATTTTTTTCTTTAAGCAATGGCTTTTTTCTGGCCACTCTTCCGTAAAGCCCAGCTCTGTGGAGTGTATGGCTTAAAGTGGTCCTATGGCCAGATACTCCAATCTCCGCTGTGGAGCTTTGCAGCTCCTTCAGGGTTATCTTTGGACTCTTTGTTGCCTCTCTGATTAATGCCCTCCTTGCCTGGTCCGTGAGTTTTGGTGGGTGGCCCTCTCTTGGCAGGTTTGTTGTGGTGCCATATTATTTCCATTTTTTAATAATGGATTTAATGGTGCTCCGTGGGATGTTCAAAGTTTCTGATATTTTTTTATAACCCAACCCTGATCTGTACTTCTCCACAACTTTGTCCCTGACCTGTTTGGAGAGCTCCTTGGTCTTCATGGTGCCGGTTGCTTGGTGATGCCCCTTGCTTAGTGGTGTTGCAGACTCTGGGGCCTTTCAGAACAGTTGTATATATACTGAGATCATGTGACAGATCATGTGAGACTTAGATTGCACACAGGTGGACTTTATTTAACTAATTATGTGACTTCTGAAGGTAATTGGTTGCACCAGATCTTATTTAGGGGCTTCATAGAAAAGGGGGTGAATACATATGCACGCACCACTTTCCCGTTATTAATTTTTTAGAATTTTTTGAAACAAGTTATTTTTTTCCTTTCACTTCACGAATTTGGACTAATTTGTGTATGTCCATTACATGAAATCCAAATAAAAATCCATTTAAATTACAGGTTGTAATGCAACAAAATAGGAAAAACGCTAAGGGGGATGAATACTTTTGCAGGGCACTGTATCTATTTTCTACGATCTCTGGGTCAGACACACAGCCAATCACAAGCATATTTCTCCCATACCAGCCAATCAGACAGCGCACCATCCCAACAAATCTGTTTATGAATGTCAGCCCTCTAGCCAAACGACCAAACTACGAGTTGAAAACGCTGTTGGAATTAATGCAGTGACTTGGCACAAAACTTTTGAATGTTGTTTTAATCACCAAATCAAATCACATCACAATTTATTTAAAGTGCATTCAACAAAAGCCTCAATACACTTTACAAAAAAAACGTATTTTGTAATTTATTTTAATTATGTGTTTTTCAGTCCATCCAATCAATCCACTGACCCAGAGACAGAGCTAGTCTGTAAACTCCATTCCCTGTTGATCCCTGACCCCTGACTTGGCACAAGAAAACTTTGGACATGTGGAGGAAGTGTCCCTTCTCTTGTTGACCTCTGACCCCTGTTCTCTGTCATACTAGGATAGTGTTTGTCAGCTTGTCTGTCAGGTTATTATTAGTCTCTCCTGGTTTCCTCTCCGTCATCCATAATGGTTCCCCTCCATCTAACCCCCCAGTCTAGCGGATGGATCCTGCCTGGTCCTGGCTAGCAACTGCAGGGCTGCAGACTCCACTGGGTTGGGTTGTTTTGGGTTGACAGGGCCTGTGTTTCTTCCTCCAGAGGAAACTTCCATTCACTCCCAGAGTACACGCACGCTTGTGCAGACTCTCACTCGCGTGCGTTACACATACAAGATCGTACGCACACACACACTCCTCTGACTGACGGGATGGTGTCACACGTGGAAGTAAACAGAGTTTAACCTTTATATCCCACTTTTCTTTCTCATCTCTCTCTTTCCCTCCCTCCCTCGGGTCCCTCCCCCTCTCAGTTTTGACCAGTTGCGTATGGCAGCCAGTAACCTGAAGAAGCAGGCCACTAAGAAAAATGAGGGCAGTCTGGCCTACGTGAAGGGAGGCCTCAGCACCTTCTTTGAGGCACAGGATGCCCTCGCAGGTGAAGATACAGTACACATTACACACAGACTATACACAGAGTATGTGTTTTTACACAGTATATCAATACTACACAGAGAGTGTGTGGTATATACATTGTATGTGTGTTATTACACAGGGAGATGGTAACCGTATATGTTTCAGGGTTGACAGAACTTGGCTCTCATGATGCAGGTAAGAGTTTGTGATGCTCAGGGTCTATTGCAGTGTGTGTTTGACTAATATCCTTTACAGACATAGAACACCGCTACAGTAACGTGTCGATAGCGAAAGTTGATAACTTTTCAGACAATTAAAAAAAGTGCCGCATCAGAACCTTTTCAGACAGTAGAATTCTGCTCCAGCATATAATGTTTGGTATTGTTTCCCTGACAACAATAAACGTTGCTGATTGATGTGCTGCTGTGTGTTTTTTTAATGCCGTTATTTTAATGATATGGTCATTTTCTTTCTACTAAATGTCTTGGTAAGTCGCGGTATTTAATTAACTTTAACATACTTTTTTAGGAGAGAGTGTTCTGCACGCAGGAAGGCAGGCAGGCTGTGCGCAGGCAGCTCGACATTATTTGATTGGACATTTCTGGTCCTGTAGTGACGGACATTAATCCCGCTTCGGAGGCAGTATTCCATAACAGACAAGTAAAATGCCTGTTCAGTGGCGCTTCGAAACCATCTCCAGAGAATGTTTCGTGTTGGCATTTAAAAAGCTGTAGTGTACTGTTAGCCGAGGCGCTTTCAAGGCGGCACATTCCATCTGTCTGAAAAGGGTATAAGACAGTTAAGAGTTTGTCAGGCTCGGGGTGTTTTGGAGTGGGTGTTAGACTAAGACAGGTATGGTTTGGGATAACATTAGTGTGGTGTTTTGGAGTGGGCATGTAATCTAAGGACTTCCTGACCATTCCTCAGAACTCTGATGAATGTGTGGAAGCTGGCCTCTAGGTTTGTGTGTATTGCCTGGTGTATTTTCTGAAAAGTGTGTGTGTGATTCTGCGTGTGTGTGTGCGCCTGTGACCACATCTCTGCAGCTCCTGGGTTTTCCCGTTGTGTGTGTGAATTTGTGTGTGCACATGTCTGTGCGCGTGTTTCTCCACGCGGCCGTGCGGTGCGGTCTAGCAGTGGTTGATTAAAGAGGCAGGTGTGTGTGAGCAGAGCACCACCACCGCAGTGTACCACAGTATTGCTAGCCAACCACAACACGATTTATTCACCTTCATTAAAACTGCATCAGCTCTCACCTGTCAATCACAATACTGCCTGTAGCAGGGCCATCTGTAGTTCTGTACTGTACTGCTGTCCTAATAGAACCTTAGAATGGAGTGCGCGGATTCATTACACAAATGCGCGCACACACACACACACTAACGTACACACTTTCTGATGTACACACACACATGCGTACAGAACGTGCACTTACTGGAAATACATCCTGCCACCCATACACACTGAGACACATGCACACGTATACTGATGCATACACACACATATACACGCACGGACGCACACACACTCCCATGGCCTTTCTCATTCACTCTCTGATAACTCTGATGTAACGTTTTGACTGCTGACTGCAGTTGCTCTGCCAGGTAGCTCAGTCAAATCAATTGTTCAACTTTATCAGTCATATTTTTGTCTGTTTACTCTAATTCCCCTCATAGCCACTCAGTTACTTCCCCTGACTATTTAAATGTCTCCGTCATTATTATTATTGCTTTCCGTATGTAATGTTTGTGCCCGGGTGGAGCAGGGGGGTCCGAATCTGAGGCAATGTTTTCATTGTTAGCCGCTGAATCTAAATAAACGGAGCAGGGCAACACAATGCAGGCCAGAGTAATAAGGATGATAACAGCCCTAATATGACCGTGGGGAACAATACAGTCCCTTTCTCACGTTCACTCTGCTGAGCGTGCCCATTATGAGCCCAAATGGGAAGAGCAGGAGTCCTCAGTGACCCAGAAAATAATGCACCGTAAATGGACTCAAATGGCCTGTGAATCAGGAAGCAATGGACCATAAGATGACAAGTCAATTGACCTGTGAGAGTATATTCTGACTCCTTACAGCACGGGTGTCAAACTCATTCATCGGAGGGCCGAGTGTCTGCAGGGTTTTGGTTTTTCCTTTCAATTAAGACCTAGACAACCAGGTGAGGGGAGTTCCTTACTAATTAGTGACCTTAATTCATCAATCAAGTACAAGGGTGGAGCGAAAACCCGCAGAACCTCTGCCCTCCGTGGAATGAGTTTGACATGTGCATTACAGCATATATAGTCCTCTGATTATGTCTGTTTTTAGGGAGATGATTCTGAGGCCCTTGTTTGCTTGGTTGTTGAGAATGTCTCAGCGCTAGTCCTGGTATTGATAGTAAGCTTGATGTATGGTTCAAGTTACATACTATGGTCAGGTATGGTCAGGGTAAGCTTTAGTAACGTGCCAGCGTGCCAGCCATTTTGTTCTGAACCAGACGGCTCTTGGCGGCTCCAGCAGTTGCTCACTGCCAGGTCCAGTTAGCACAGCTGTCCGCGAAACTGTGAATACTTTCTTTGTCTGTCTATCTACGTGTTTGGCAAGTCATCTAAGTCATTCTAAATGAGCTCCACCTCAGGTGTTGCTGTACAAATTGAAAGGAAATGAATAATGAAGGCTGTGTGTGTCTGTGCCTGCGTGTGTGCATGCATTCATGCGTGTGTGCACTTGCGTCTGAGCGTGTGTGTGCTCTGTGGTCAGAATGTGTTACATTAAAAGTGGCACGGTACTAATAGCTGTTTAGCCTGTGGTGCTTCCAGCTCACTCAATCACCATTTAATGGCTTTTATTTTTAGTCTCCTCAGTTTATTTTCTCTTCTGCCTGCATGTGAGAATTGTATTGATGCTCTCGTAAAAGCCAGTGGTGTTTTATTATTAAGAGAGAGCAGGGGAGTGGGTTGGGGATCGCAGTGTGGAAATAAGGAAGGAATGTCTCTGCATGGACCAAATCTGGAAAATGGAATGAGTTCTGTTCAACCCCCAAAAAATTAAACAAGTGGTGTGTTTTGAGGTTCTTCTTTTTCTCCTCTTCTCTCTCCTGTCATTATCTCTCTCTACTTTCTCTCTTTTGTCTCACCCTCTCCATTCCTCCCTTTCTTCTCATTCATCTCCTCCAACAGAAACGTGTGTGTGTCTGTGTGTGTGTGTGTCTCTGTGTGTGTGTCTCTGTGTGTGTGTGTGTGTGCGCATGTGCGTTTGTGCGTGCACTTGCCACTGATGTCTCAGTAATAATGTCTCTGTGTGTTTCCCTGCTGGGCTTAAACACACAGTTTAGCACCAGGCACTAATTGGCTAACCCCACCCATCCTCATCCCACAGCAATATTTATGGCTAGTTTGGTTAGTGCAGTGGCTAGGCCAAATGCTAACCTCAGTTCATCTAGCGTTGTGGACAGTGATAAGCTCTCTCCATTTAGGGAATGGAACCTACAGCCAACTGGTGCTCCCTAAACATGCTTATTACACCCATCTTACACTGCTCCCCTTCACTGTTAGACTGGGGCTTGTAGATACATAGTGACAGAGAAGAGGAGGGGACATGTCTGCATTGAGGGGTTACATGAGGTCAAATAGGTCAGACGACCTTGATGTCTGGGGTCAACCACCCAGTGGGCCAGGGGCTGGGTAAAACAGGAAGTGAAGGAATAGTTCTCTAAACTCTCTGTGTGACCCAGAGCAGACAGGCTGTTGAAAGGCATGGGGAGTTCATAGTTCATAGTCATAGTTGGGGGCTGTTTGGTTAGGCTGATCCACTGACAAACTGAACTATATTTCACAGGGGTCTTCTGAGACCTGGCTGACTAACTGGCTAACTGACTGAAAGACTGACTGACAGAGAGGCCAGGGGGAGAGGGGGGGGGGGGGGGCTCAGAAAAATTATGAAATTTGAGGTTTTTCATTGTTGTGTGAAAAGGAAGTGGGCCTGCGATACAGGATACGGACCACCGCTACTGTGTTCCAAAATCCCAGATTTCCCAGGGCAGTATTCCCGACGCTCCAAACCTCCGACTCCGCTGCATAGTCAGGAGTCAAAACATCTCCAACTTTAGAATCCAAGGATGCTGTGTTTTTATTTTGGATACATTTTTTTCAGTGGGTTCCAGGAAGCTGAGTGGGGGCTGCCTGTGTCTCTTCCTCCGCTCCTGTATACGTGTGTGTGTGTGTGTGTTATCCGGAGACTGACGGGGTGTTTAGGTTAGCCATGACGTCATGGCCGCGGCAGCGAGTATGTGTGATAGACAGAGAGGACACACAGCTGGCTGGGGGCACGGGGGTCTCTGCAGAGACAATAACCAGGACCCTGAGGGTGTGTGTGTGTGTGTGTGTGTGTTTGCACAATACGGGGACTTGCACAATACACTAGACTTCTCTCTACTCTATACATATACTATTCAGAGCAGATGGCATTCTTCTTCCATAAAACCTCTGGTCTCCCTGTTTCTGCCTGTAGGTTAAGTCTATGGTTCCTGCCCTGGCTCTCTGAATGTCCTATGGACACTGCTTGCGTTGGTTCAGTGATGACCGTGCCGATTAGGCAGCCATGAAATGATGGCATGTTTGATTAGTGAGGTTCAGGAATACCTCAGCCTCTCTGCCTCAAGGCTCCCGTCTTTCAGAACAGGACCCACATTTATTTACAGAACTCTCTCTCCCCACTTCCTTCGTTCCTTCTCTCTCTCTTTGCTCCGTTTTAGCTGACAGTCGTTGTTTTCAGTGGAACGAATGAGAGTGAGAGAGTGGTGAAAAGCAGAGAATAAATAAAGGGGGCTTGACATCCTTTTTCTCTTTCCCTTGTGTCAGTGTTTCTGGTCTCATCCCCTAGCCTCCCCCGTTTCACCCCCTCTCTCCCCTCTCCCCTCTCCCCTCCCCTCTCTCCATCCTCTCTCTCCCCCTCTCCATCCTCTCTCTCCCCCTCTCATCCTCTCTCCCCCCTCCCCCCTCAATAAACCCGCACTGCCCCTCTCAGCACCCAGCTGCCCAACTAAGGTCATGTGAGCAGCCCTGATGCGCTGTCTCTCTCTCTTTCTCTCTCTCTCTCTTTCTCTCTCTCGCTCTCTCTCGCTCTGCCTACCCTACTCTCCCTCTCTCACATTAATTACTCCAGACCAATTCTGACCTCTATCTCTCTCTCTCACATGAATTACTCCAGGCCAATTCTGACCTCTACTCTATCTCCTTTTCTTTTCCTCTTCTCACCTTTTACACCCTCTGCGTTTCACCTACTTCTCCTTGCCTTACCACACCAACACTACTTCCTACTCAGTGTTGATATTGGACTGTGGACCCTACAGATCTGTATTCATTAGTGTTGTATAGTCAACCTGACACTAGCAGCATCCCTCTCAGCATTATAAATACTGCTTTTCAGTCTTCAAGCTCTCCTCACCCAAATATTATTCCTCTTACTGATAAAACATTTGGATTTGCATTTCCTCTGGGAGTCTCTGGGTCTTTCGGTGCACAGTGTCTACAGTCTATGGTCCATTTGGAACAGTCTTCTTTCCCCTAGATTATTTTCCAGTCAGGTTACAAAGGCCCCCAAAGGAACATCAAATGCTAATCTGGAGTGGATGTTGATAGGGGGTACTAATTCAGTCAGGTTAGGTCAAGTGGATCAGTTACAGTAGCTGTGGTCCGGTCAGTGGTTGGCGTGGGAACGGTTTAGAGGGGGCGTGGTCAGAGACGGACAGAAGCCACTGGGGCAGAGAGGCTGTTTATTGTTTTACCTTCAGTTCCTCAAATTGGAATCTCAGAATTACTCATGTTAGATTGAGCAGTAGAAGCGCTCTGAGTGTTATTATAGAACACACAGAGATCTTAAAATAACTTGGATAACTATCTTTATCTATATCTCTTTATCTTTCTCGATTTGTCTGTGCTGCTTTAATTCAGTGATTTGATACTGAATTCAGAGCTCAGATTTTTGTTTCTTGTCTCCTTTGATTGAACGGAATACTTGTAGCATCCTTGACAGCTAGTCACAGTGTTGAATAAAACGTTATTGTTATTTTACAGCGATCCACCAGAGGTTGGAGTCTGATGGGACAGAGAAGGTGGAGGGCTCCATGACACAGCGCCTGGAGAACGTCCTCAACAGTAAGCCTTCCATCTATCTATCCTTCCATCCATCTACAATATGCGTCCATCTATGCATCCGTCCACCCATCCGTTCATTCATCCATCATCCATCCATCTATTCACTATCTGTTAATCTCTCTACCTCTCAGTTGGAACATACACCAATTCATAGGTCAAATCAAATCAGTAGTATTATGTATTGTAATCTGAGGGCAGACATCATCCCAGCTGACATTGGTTAGACTCACTTCTATCTCTATAGGAAGTCCAATTAGCAGGACGTTTCTTCAGAAAGCACCACCTACTTAACAAACGATCTGTTTATGAGGATAGATAGAGTACGGTTTCACCTCCTCCTCGCCACCCACCAATTATCTCACACACACACCACGTTGTGTGTGTGTTCATTTTCCCTGTCTGCAGAGCGTCTCTTCCAGCTAGTTCCTCTATCCCTGTCTCTCATCTCATACATGATAATGTGACTCCTTTAATGGAGCATCAATAAACAGGTCCTTTCCTCAGGGTTGAAGGTAAATAAACCTCCCATCCGGACGCTGCTTTCATCCCCACAGCGGCACAGCCCCAGACAGACATGTGGGCCCACAGCCGAGAGCTCAGCAACCGCACACCTCCATAACTCCCTACATGTGGGCCTTCAGCCCGAGAGTAACCCAGCCCCCCCCACAGCCACCACATGCCTCCCCACCGGTGGGCCTACACAACCTTACCCCGACCCCCACCTCCCGAGCCACCGCACACCTCCTCGACCCAAGACCCCCATCTTCGTCCCATACACCTCCCTAACCTCCACCACCGCCCACCACCCGCCCGTCAAACACTCAACCCGTTAGCCAATCACAAACATCCCCCCGAAATATCAAACAGCATGACAACTCGTCAGTCAGAGCGTGGAGTGGGGAGTGAAAAATGTGAAATATTTCTCTGTTCGCTCTCTCAATGTTTTTCCTTTCGAGATTTGGTGTGGTGTGGTGGGGGGGAGGGGGCTAACCCCTTTTTCTGATTAAAATAATTTTAGCGAGTCCTTGTTTTTTCTTTTTTGGCCGGCACATCCGAGGCCACCCACGAAGCCGGAGAGTAGCGTGTGAATGGCCCTGGGAGGAAGAGAGAAGGAAAGACTGAGAGATAGCTGTCATGTTCTCTTTACCAACTCTGTCTCGCTCTACCTCTCTGCCTAGTTCAGGTAGCTTCCTGGCACACCGGCCACAGAGGAAAACCAGATTCTAGTCTGCAAGATGATATGTATTAAAAGTGAAGAAAATCTATATTTTTCTTGATGTCTCTACTCGCCCTTTCTCTCTCTCTTTCCTTCCTTCTCTCTATCTCCCACCCCACCTCTCTCTCCTTCCCCCCACCCCCCACATCTCAGGAGCCAGTGATACAGCAGACACTCTGTTCCAGGAGGTGTTGGGGAGGAAGGATAAAGCTGACTCAACACGTAACGCCCTCAACGTCCTGCAGCGCTTCAAGTTCCTCTTCAACCTGCCGCTCAACATAGAGCGCAACATACACAAGGTATACAGAACACACACACACACACCTGGCCCTCAACATAGAGCGCAACATACACAAGGTATACAGAACACACATACACACACCTGCCCCTCAACATAGAGCGCAACATACTGAAGATATACAGAACACACACAGATGTGGACACAGATACGGACACACACACACACACCCACACATAAAGTACCAGTCATAAGTTTGGACAAATCTACTCATTCAAGGGTTTTCCTTTATTTTTACTATTTTCTACACTGTAGAATAATAGTGAAGACATCAAAACTATGTAGTAACCAAAAAAGTATTAAACAAATCAAAATATGTTTTATATTTGAGATTCTTCAAAGTAGCCACTCTTTGCCTTGATGACAGCTTTGCACACTCTTGGCATTCTCTCAACCATCTTCATGAGGAATGCTTTTCCAGCAGTCTTGAAGGAGTTCCCACATATGCTGAGCACTTGTTGGCTGCTTTTCCTTCACTCTGCCGTCCAACTCATCCCAAATCATCTCAATTGGGGTGAGGTCGTGTGATTGTGGAGGCCAGGTCATCTGATGCAGCACTCCATCACTCTCCTTCTTGGTCAAATAGCCCTTACACAGCCTGGAGGTGAGTTGGGTCATTGTCCTGTTGAAAAACAAATGATAGTCCCACTAAGCACAAACCAGATGGGATGGTGTATCGCTGCAGAATGCTGTGGTAGCCATGCTGGTTAAGTGTGCCTTGAATTCTAAATAAATCACAGACAGTGTCACCAGCAAAGCACCATCACACCTTCTCCATGCTTCACGGTGCGAACCACACATGCGGAGATCATCAGTTCACCTACTCTGCGTCTCACAAAGACATGGTGGTTGGAACCAAAAATCTCAACTTTGTAAAAATCTCAAATTTGTACTCATCAGACCAAAGGACATATTTCCACCGGTCTAATGTCCATTGCTCGTGTTTCTTGGCCCAAGCAAGTCTCTTCTTCTCAGTGGTTTCTTTGCAGCAATTCGACCATGAAGGCCTGATTCACACAGTCTCCTCTGAACAGTTGATGTTGAGATGTGTCTGTTACTTGAACTCTGAAGCATTTATTTGGGCTGCAATTTCTGAGGCTGGTAACTCTAATGAACTTATCCTCTGCAGCAGAGGTAACTCTGGTTCTTCCTTTCCTCTGGCGGTCCTCATGAGAGCCAGTTTCATCATAGCGCTTGATGGTTTTTGCGACTGCACTTGAAGAAACTTTAAAAGTTCTTGAAATGTTCCATATTGACTGACCTTCTTGTCTTAAAGTAATGATGGACTGTCATTTCTCTTTGTTTATTTGAGCTGTTCTTGCCATAATATGGACTTGGTCTTTTACCAAATAGGGCTATCTTCTGTATACCCCCCCTACCTTGTCACAACACAACTGATTGGCTCAAACGCATTAAGAAGGAAAGAAATTCCACAAATTAACTTTTAACAAGACACACCTGTTAATTGAAATGCATTCTAGGTGACTACCTCATGAATCTGGTTGAGAGAATGCCAAGAGTGTGCAAAGCTGTCATCAAGGCAAAGGGTGGCTACTTTGAAGAATCTCAAATATAAAATATATGTTGATTTGTTTAACACTTTTTTGGTTACTACATGATTCCATATGTGTTATTTCATAGTTTTGATGTGTTCACTATTATTCTACAATGTAGAAAATAGTAAAAAAATAAAATAAACCTGGAATGAGTAGGTGTGTCCAAACTTTTGACTGGTACTGTATATACACTAACACACACACAGCATGCACACTTCTACCTGTCACTCATCATCAAGCACAGGATCCAGAAGGTGGTGCTACAGATGCCTGAATGTGTGTAGGGTGTATTGTGTGTTCAGTCTATAGTCTCATTTTGACATGTCCACTGTACATATGAGGTTTTTCTCTATGTGTTACAAAATTCAACCAATGTGATATTGTTACAGTGAGAGTTTAATGTTGTTGTTTTCTCTCTACATATTATAATCATAAAGCATTATGTTGTTGTTTTCTCTCTCAGGGAGATTATGATGTGGTGATCAACGACTATGAGAAAGCCAAGTCTCTGTTTGGGAACACTGAGGTCCCAGTCTTTAAAAAAGGTAGGATAAAGTGAAGAGAAGGTACGATCACCGAAGATGTCATATACTGTACTGCAACCAAGTAAGTGTGATCCTCTCCTCCTGTGTGTCTGTCTATAGTGTATGCCGAGGTGGAGACTAGGATCGGGGCTCTGAGGAGTCTGCTACTGGACAAACTACTGGAGACACCATCAACCTTGCATGACCAGAAGAGATACATCAGGTCTCAGTAGACTTCATGTATATGTACTGTATTGAGGACGACGGTGTGTTACATTTGCCCCATTCTCACTGCCCTCTCTCACTTTCTATATTTTTACCTCTCGTTGTATACCTGTCTACAAGCCTTGCTTGCTCTTCCGCTTTCTCTCTCACTTCCCTGTCTCTTCTTAAATACCATCTGTCTGTCCTTCTTTCCCTCTCCCGCTCTCTCTCTCCTTTTTCTTCTTTTTCCCTCTCCATCTTTCTCTCTTCCCCCTTCTCCTGCTCCCCCGTTCTCTTCTACTCCTTCCCCCTCTTCCTCCATCCTCCATAGTTGTGGTCTGTGCTAGTTTATTATTACTCAGAACGACCCATCAGAACCAGAGAGAGCAGCTCACGATCACAGCAGCCATCTTTCATCCTCCTACATTACATTAGAGCTAGCTGGCTTTAAACTGCCAACATGTCAAACCCCCTGTTTACCTTACACCCATTAGGGGGAACCTAGGGGGGGTTGTGGTGGAGTAAAGTCAGACATGGTTTCAAATAGTATTTGTTTCCCTTCAAATATTTTAGTTGTGCTTGATAGACATTGCCTGATAAAAATGGAACCAACAGAATAGTCCCAAACGTGCAAACCGTGCCCGTCTGGAACTCCAGGCTGGCTTAATCGAATGCGAAAAACAATTTGAAAGGAAACAAATACTATTTGAATCCAAATAGGTGGCTTGGCGTGTCTTGTAGGGGTTTGGGGGCTGGAGGTTCCCTTGTAATGAGGAACAAATGATTGTGGTCGCGTCGCGTCTGCCTGTTATGTGATGGAGCCAGCCCACAGAGAGCGCCTAGACTAGAGAGTGACTCACTCATTTGAGATGATCCCACAGAGTACTGAGTGATGTACAGGGAATGTAGTGGGGAAAATGACTGTGGGTAGGGTATGAGGGTTTTGGGGATGAGTTGAGGATGAGGGTTTGAGGATAAGTTGGGGAGGGGACTAGGGTTTTGGGGATGAGTTGGGGAGGGGATGAGGGTTTTGGGGATGAGTTGGGGAGGGGATGACGTGTTTTGGGGGGTGAGTTGGGGAGGGTGATGGGTAAGTTTTGGGGATGATGTTGGGGGGGGATGAGGGTTTTGGGGGATGAGTTGGGGAGGGGATTGAGAGTTTTGGTGGGGGATGAATTTGGGGAGGGGATGAGGGTTTTTGGGATGAGTTTTGGGGATGGGGATGAGGGTTTTGTGGGGATGGTTGGGGAGGGGATGAGGGTTTTTGGGGGATATGTTTGGGGAGGATATTATGGGTTTGGGGATGAGTGAGGAGGGATTGAGGTTTTGGGTAATTGAGTTTAGGAGGGGATTGATGGGGTTTGGGGATGAGTTGAGGAGGGTTATGATGGTTTTGGGGGATGAGTTTTTTGGGGGAGGGGATGAGGGTTTTGGGATACGTTTGGGGGAGAGTACTGTATGGGTTTTTGGGGATGAGTTGAGGATGAGGGTTTGAGGATAAGTTTGGGAATGGTCTAGGGTTTTGGGGATGAGTTGGGGAGGGGATGAGGGTTTTGGGGATAGGTTGGGGAGGAGATGAGGGTTTTGGGGATGAGTTGAGGATGAGGGTTTTGAGGATTAATTTGGGGAAGGGACTAGGGTTTTGGGGATGAGTTGGGGAGGGGATGAGGGTTTTGGGGATGAGTTGGGGAGGGGATGAGTTTAAGGCAAAGGCTACAGGAGATGGAGGTTGTGGGGTTTAGACTTAAATCTGAAGAGTGTCATATTGAAGTGTTGTTTCAACCCATTTCTTACCTGAGTGTGTCAGCATTGACAACATCACCTGTGAAGTGCCTACATACTCATTCTTACCTGTGTGTGTTCCTTCCAGGTATCTGTCTGACCTGCATGCACCAGGGGACCCTGCCTGGCAGTGTATCTACGCCCAGCACAAGTGGATCCTCGGACTGATGCAGAACTGCAAGGAGGAGTTTATCAATGACCAGAGAGGTGAGTTACAGACACACACACAGATCCACTCACGCACAAACACACA